AGCTAACCTTAAAACATGGAGATTTTCTGTATACACCTGACCCAACCAGGCAAACTCTTTATAAACAGAGCATGTTCTCTGGTAGCCAAGAAAGGAATCAGAGGGACAGGAAGTACAGGAAGGAATTGGTGTGTTGCTGCTGGCTTTGAAAATGGCAGGGGTCATGTGACCTGGAATACAGGCGGCCTCTGTAAGCTGATAGCCAGAAAGGAAAGGGAGACCTCAGCCCTACAACAGGCTGGATTCTGCCAACAGCCTGACTGGATTTTGCCAACAACCTGAATCAGCTTGGAAATGGATTATTTCTCAGAGCCTCCAGATAAGAGTCCAGCCAGGCTGACACCTTGATTTCAGCCTTGTGAGAACCTGAGCAGAGAAGCCATCTGAGTCAACCCAGACTTCTGACCAAGAGAACTGTGAAATTATAAATGAGTATTGTTTTCACTGCTAGGTTTGTAGTAATTTGTTATGCATATCAATGGAACACTAATTCATACTCCTTTCAAACCACTTACCATTTTATATGTTATTATTTAATATATTCATTTCCCCCATTTAAAAAAACTTAATAGACTTTCTTTTTTCAGAGCAGTTTTAGGTTCAAGCAAATTTGAGCAGGAAGTACAGAGAGTTCCCAAACACCCCCATACGACACATGTGCAACCTCCCCCCGCTATTGGCATCCTGCACCACAGTGGTACTTGTCCCCGGGCTGATCATTAAATTTCCAATCTGATAACTCCAATATTCCAGCCAAATGTTACTCCAGTTTTGGTGCTTGATCAGTCTCTTCAAATGGTGTTATAAGCCTTTTATTACACTATGTAAATTTTTTAGGCATACGTGATGTACTGGATAAAAGTAACTTCAGTAAACAGGACTTTAGTAACACAGTGGTACAGCGTGGTGGGTAGTGAAGTGTTCTGCAGATTTACGGTTAGCTTTCAGTGTTTGGTGAGCCTGTGCCCCTGGGTTGTGAATTTCTCCAGTGCGTCTGGCCCTCACCCCTATGGACAGGATGGCTGGAGGGGGCTGTTGTGTATTTTTATTCCTCAGGTAGGTTTGGCTCTGATATAACCCAAGTAGGTCAGACTCTGGGAAAATAGTTTCTCCTGAGGGCAGGCCTTTCTAGGAAGAACAGAAGTCTCTGGCATATTTCAAAGTAGTTAGTTTTTCCCTCCCCTTGTGGAAGCCTGAGGAAATTTTTCTCTGGTGATCACCTTGAAGACCCGGTAGAGTTTCCTGGAGGTAAAGCTCAGGCAAGTGTGAGGGCTCCACTAAAACCCTGAAGTCTTCCTCTCTCAGACTTGTCCACACTGAGCCTCCAGCAATTCATCAGTTACGTTCCAGGTTTCCCCCCCAGTACTGGCTCCTGCAGTGGTTTCTGTTTAAGGATCTGCCTGTCTCTCCAACTTGGGGCAGTGGTTTGCCCTGTCTGTGTCCACACTCCTCTGACAGATCTAAAGAAGAGTTGTTGATTTTTCAGTTTGCTCAGCTTTTTACTTGTTAGGATCGAGTGGTGACTTCTAAGCTTCTGACATGCCAGACTGGAAACTGGAAGTCTCACTTGGCATTATTTTCCCCAAAATCAATCACTGTTATTATAATTATTATGCACTCAATGTTTATGTATAATTATCCATATATTTGCCAATATATTTACACACTACTTATTCTTGCCTATAAAGATCTTCCTTCTGGTTCATTTTATTTCTCTCTTTACTTTTTTAGAGGTTCCTTTAATGATGTTCTGTTTGGTAAATATTGCCATTTTTTCTTTGCTTATTCTTCTCATTTGGTAAATATTGTGGTAAATATTGCCATTTTTTCTTCCTTTATTCTTCTCATGCTGAATTACAGATTGCCAAGGATCTATAGATGATTGGAGTTCTGCTTCAGATCTTGCTGGTCATTATTACATCACTATTTTTCTCTCAAGCCTTTTAACTTTTAATTTATTACTTTATTACTTCAGTATCTTCTGGCTTCTGTAGGTACTGACAGAGTTTGCTGTTAATCTAATTGTAATGTCTTCATTGTTTATTATATTTGAACATGGACTAATTTAAGTGTTTTTTGTTTGTCTTGGTATTTTTTTAGGTTTACTATATAAGGATATTTCTTCATTTACTCTACTCACTATTTGTGTTTTCTTAGCCATTATCTATTTTAAAAATTGCCTCTCCCCTATTTTTCCTAAGTTTTTTTTCTTCTGAAACTCACATTTAATGTTCAAATCGGCCTCCTCATTCAATTTTCTATCTTAATGTTTCTGTCACTTATTCAGTTATTTTGCTTCTCAAAATGACTGTTTTCTCAAAAACACCTTTACATCCATTTCCAGATTACAATTCTTCTTTTCAGCTCTATCTAATCTTGTACTTAACTATTTCTTGAGTTTTAATTTAATGACAATGTTTTCCATTTCTAGTAGTTCTTTTTCATTCTTTTATATAATTTTCTTTTTAAAACAGTATCTTGATCTATCCTCTGATTTTTAATATTATATTTTATTTCTTTAATAATTTTAAGTAATCATTTTGTATTCTGCTTTAGATAATTCTCCCATCTGGAATCTTAGGAAATAATTCTCCATTTCTTATTTGTGCTAAATCTTGCTCACAGTGGCTCATTTCTTCTTGTGTGTGACAATTTTGGACTGTGCATTCAACTTTGGTGTGGCTTTACTAATGTGTGATCTTTTGGGAGTAGTATTAAAGGTATCTATCCATATAGGACTGGCATTACTCTTTTAGGCAATGTTTGGATATCTATTGCTGATAAAATACACCAAAACATGGCTTTGAAGACCCATTTTATTTATTCTTCATAATTTTATGGATCAGGGAGTTGAGAAGGACTCATCTAGGTTTGGCTTGGATCCATGTGGCATCACTTGGGGCAGCTGTGGTTATAGAATCCACTTCCCAGATGGGGTCTCCACTCTCATGCCTGGGCTGGGCTAGTCGTTGATGGGGAGATATCTGCTGGGAGCTCAGTTGAAGCTGTCGACTGACATTGTGGGCAACCACACACTGTGAGAAATGAGAAGCCTAAGCCATCTCACAGCATGGCAGCCGTGTCCCCAGAGAGGTGGTCCCAAGGATGGGTGTTCTAAGAATCCAAAAGGGAAGTTACAAGGTTTCCTATGACCTAGCCTCAGAAGTCCTTAGATGCCTCCTTCATAGGCAGTACTAGAACAAAATTTTTAGTCATCCTTATCTTATCACAGATATGTCTTTAATATGTCACTTTATAATATCAATATGTATAGTAATATGTATAGTAATATCAATATGTATAGTAATACATCCTATATAATTGCCAATGCATGACTAATTTATAATAATTCAAAGTTTGGGGATTTAAACTAAATAAGAAATGCAAATTCAAATCCCAAACCTGCATCAGGATAGACCAATTATAAATAATTGTTAGGAAAGGAGATTTATGGGTTTTTTCTCTTTCTCAGAGACTAGGCTGAGACAGAATATTCCTTCTCCTCTCCCTTAGCCAGTAAGAGGATATTTTAAAGACTGCCATTTCACTGAGGTTTAAGGCAAGGACTCCTGCATTATGAGTAGATACATGGGAGGAGGGTGTGGGAGTCTCAGTCTGAACTCTCCGATTTGGGTGTGCCCTAACCGTTACCTTCAATGTCTTCACAGTTATTAAAATATAAGATTCTTCATTTTAGAGTTTGGCAAATGCCTCTAGACAGTTGCAGTTCTGCTTCAGCTTATTTCACGAAGATCAGCTCTCACATCATTTTGGTCAGTGGGGTGTTTCTTGATTACATGAAAGCTCACTTCTGCATTCTGAGCATTTTTAATATATCCAAGCTAGCAGTTTATCCAAGTATTTTGTTGAGAATGTTTTCTGATAATTTATGTTCACAGATTCCACAGATGGAAATATATATTATTTTATTTCTTGCATTTCATGATTCTACCTACTAATTAACTTTTTGCTAAATGGAATGACTTCTCAATTTCCTTCTATTTATGCATTATTCTGTTCTTCTCACATGGCTGGCATAAAACAGCATGTGACATTTTGTTAACATATTTCAATAAATATCTCTTTAATATATTACAAAATTTCTGTAATACATTACAAAATGTATTCCTTTTTGTTAGGACCGAACAGTACCTAAAGTGCAATTAATGACCCAAACTGGATTTATTTCTCACATTGATCTCACGATTAAACTCTACGTGAATCTTCCATTTACAACTCCTCTGTAATTATATTAATCAGATCAGGTACTGTTACACTGTTCTGAGAAATTAATCTTGGACACTCACTGTGGTCAATACAACATAGATTTATATCTCGCTTTCTGTATATTTTCAGTATATACTCTGTTCTTGACATTCACTCAAAACCCAGGCTGTTGAGAGGTACCATTATATTGCAGTTGTGTCATATAAAATGCATCACTACAGAAAAGGAAGACTGACTTGCCCCCTGGCAATTTAATTTGATCCTGAAGAGAGACACAACATATCCTCTCATAGCCCATTGGCATGTACTGTCCACAGCCTTACCTAACTGCAAGGGGGCTGGGGCTGGGGAATATGGTCGCCAATGTGCCTGGGAAATAGAGACTAACTGGATAGTGCTAAACAGAAGCATAAAGTCAGTTACCTTGACCATTCTGGTTTTCAACAGGTTCTTAAAATATTATAACTGCAAGTGTTCATTGAACAACCAGAGTTGATCAAATGACACAAATGAGAGTCCTAGCCATGTTCCGATCTTAGTCATTGGTCCCTTTGAATCTTTGGCTTTAGGATAATGGACATTAATATTCTCAGGTTATGCTTAATGCAACATGTTTATAAACATTTTTTGAATTGTAAGCATTAGACAAAAGTGATATCTACATTTTTCTTTTTACTAGGCTGAATGTTGGATTAAATGTATTAATTATGAGATCATTTAATTTATTCTGATATCCACTGGGTTTTATTTTAATAGTTACCATTCCAAGAAGAATGGAGACTGGCAATGGCACAATGGTGACAGAGTTCATTATTTTGGGATTGACAGAGGATCCCATTCTTTGTGCAGTTTTCTTTGTGGTCTTTCTAGGAATCTACATTGTTACCATATCGGGCAATATCAGCATAATCATGTTAATCCGAAGAAGCCCTCAGCTTCACACTCCTATGTACCTTTTCCTCAGCCATTTGGCCTTTGTGGACATCGGCTATTCCTCATCAGTCACACCTGTCATGATTGTGAGTTTCATAAGGGAGAGAATTGCCATCCCTGTTGCTGGCTGCATAGCCCAGCTTGGCTCTGATGTTGTCTTTGGGACGGCCGAGGCTTTCCTTCTAGCAGCCATGGCCTACGATCGCTATGCGGCCATCTGCTCCCCACTTCTCTACTCCACACGCATGTCTCCCAGGGTCTGCATCATCTTGTTGGTTGCTGCCTATGTGGGTGGCTGTGTGAACTCTTCGTCGTGTACTGGCTGCTTATTGAGCTTGACTTTCTGTGGACCAAACAAAATCAACCATTTCTTCTGTGACCTCCCACCACTAGTGAAGCTTTCTTGCACCCATATTTATATTGCCGAATTATCTCCTATCATCTCAGCTGGGTCAGTCATTGTAACCACACTGTTTATCATAATTGTTTCATATGTGTACATCCTCCACTCGATCCTGAAGATGCGCTCCACTGAGGGAAGGCACAAGGCCTTCTCCACCTGCACGTCCCACCTCACTGTGGTCACTCTGTTCTATGGGACAGTTACATTTGTTTATGTTATACCAAAGTCAAGCCACTCAGATGATCATATGAAAGTGGTGTCTGTGTTCTACACAGTAATAATCCCCATGCTGAACCCTCTGATCTACAGTCTGAGGAACAAGGAAGTGAAAGAGGCCATGAGAAAATTGATAGTGAGAATACATTCCTCATTTGAAAGAAATACAATGTGAGTCCAGAAATTATTAAATAATAGTTTTGGGAACATATGTTGCACATGTTTCCTTAGCCTTCTTATATGGGAAAAAGATCTTAAATATACAATGCCAGTATGTTTATTCATGTCCACTTTATAATTCTATAGAGTCACAAAATAAAATTTATCATTTTCATGAAAATATACTGGGTTCAGATTAAATGTGTATATTTTAGGATTAGGATACCTGGAGAATACAGTTCCACTTTTTCTTTCCTCTGCCAAGTATTAACAGAGTCTATGATTAGAGTGTGTTTTTTTCTTCCCTTTAGCTAAGTAGTATATATTTTTTAATGTCATAAATTAGCATCTTGGAAAGAATTATGTATTCAATCAACATGCAATTAATTGATGATAGTATCGACATCCCATGTCACTTTTCTGGAAGAGCTGGCCTCTTTTACACAGGATTATCCAAATCTTTGTAAATACTGATGATGACATCTTGGAAAACGTTATTTCATTTCCATCGACTATAAACTGAACCAAAAGAATTTGTTTCACAATTTTGCCACCAGGAGACTCAATCCAGGTAGCACAGAAGGACTTCTGAAGGCTTATCGGACAAGCCTTTGAATAGTAGGAAAGTCTCCCAAGTGGTGCTGGTGGGGAGGGGCCCAGGCACAGTGGAGCTTTCTTTCAGCTGGCCAGTTGGTAAATCCAGGGCATAAAATTATTGACTGAGACACCCAGGTTTATGCAGGCTTGGAATACAGGGCCTTCCTTCTTTGTAATATCTCTTTAGAAGGTCTTCATTGCCACTACTTCTGTCACTTCTTCATTTTAGGTACCCAATTCAATGGTCCTGGCATATAAATTGGTGAAAGCATAACCCTTTGCAAACAATCAGGGATACAATGACAACCTATGGAAGAAACTAGTTTAAAGAAGTCCTTGACAGAACTCTGGTAGATGAAATTATTTGTCCATAGTTTTTGAAATGATGACACCATAGAATTCGGCGGGAGACACCAGTTCTTACAATGAAGTAATCAGGCAGTGTTCACTCTCATTACTTTAGACCTCTCATATTGAGCATTTTAATAAATGCATCTACCAGCCACTTGTATATCCTCTTTTGTGTAATGTTTTTTCAGGTCTTTTGTCAATTTTATTCTTAGATTGTACTTTTCTTATTGATTTGTTCTTATTGTAATCTGTCATGAGTCCTTTATCAGATTTGTTATACTCCAATTCTGAAGTTTGTCTTCAGACAAAAATACAATCTTAATTGTATTTTCTGCTGAACAGAAGTTTTAATTTTAAGGAAATCCAATTTAACAATCTTTTCTTTAATGTTTAATGTTTTGATGACAACTTCAGGAAATCTAGTGACCTAATCCAAGGTCACAATGATATTCTCTCATGTTTTGTTCTAGAAGTTTTATACTTCTGAAATTCAGGTTGGGGATGGAACTTTAGGTTTCTTTTTTTGTTTTTTTGTTTTAAATTACCTATGAATTCAACATAGGCAAGGCCCACACATCCATTTACTGTGGGACTGTGTGGGACTATGCAATTTCTCTCTGTACCAGCTCCTCCTCTGCTGCTCATTTCTAGGTAAATTCCTTGGAGGCTATTGTTGGGTGAAATGATTTTTTCTTGTATTTGCATTTCTTCTAAATTTGGACCTGTCCAGATGGTCTACAATGTCATCTAAGGACTGGTTGATTCCTCCTCATTCCTTCAGTCTCCCAGCATGCAGCAGGCCAAACTACTCACCTGCTCTCAGGAATACAAACTCTTATGGACATATGAGCTAATCAAAGTTTCCATGAATTCACTATCCTTGGTTCATTGCATACATATATGTGATTTTTATTTTGCCTAGGCTTTTCTTGTTATGGTGTGATCAAATTTTTTTTTATATAATTCTGTTTGTTAATTCAGAGATGCAAGTCCCACTTTGATTAATGTTCATACATTAATTATTAAATCAATCTAGAATTCCTGAAATAAATCTAACTTGGGTTGCTTTTTAATCCACTTTATTATCATTGAATTTCTTTTACTAATATTTTCTTCAGGATGTTTGCATCTATGTTCATAAGAAAGTTTTACCTGTCATTTTCCACTCTTGAAACAAAATTTTCAGGTTTGGCTATACAAATATAAAAATGACTTGGAAAGGGCTTCTTTGCTATCTTTTCTCAGAAGAACTTTTTACAGGATTGGTGACATTTAGGTCATAAATAGTTCTATGAAATTAACATTGAAGTCATTTGTGCCTTATACTTCTGTGTGAAAGTCACTGTAAGAGTCATTTTCTTTAATGAGTAAAGGAATACTCAGTTTTTCAGTTTATTTTTATGTCATTTTTGGTAAGGTTTTTTTAAAAATAGTTTACCAGATCACTTCTATTTCAAAATCATACCTTTTTATTTTTTATTTTCAGTCAGATCTATAATGTCATCATTTCACTCCTGATGTTGTAATTTCTGTATTTTTATTAGGTCTTATTAGCATATTAGAGGTATATCGATTTTATTAGCATTTCCAAAAATAAAATTTTTGATTTATGCTTTTCTGTGTTGTATATCAATTTTCCAATTTTCCATTTCTTAAATTTTTATTCATTTTTATTATTGTTTTATTTATTTACTTGGGTTAATTTAGTCTTCTTTTTGTTTTCTTTTTGTTTTTAATAAGAAGATAGGAGTGAGGAAGGAAGGAAGTTCCTTTATTTATTGATTTATTTAGAGACAGTGTTTCACTCTGTTGCCTTGAGTAGACTGCAGTGGCCTCATTTTAGCATCTTAGCTCACTGAAAACTCCAAGTCTTGGACTCAAGCCAATCTCCTGCCTCAGCTTCGTGAGTCACCGGGACTACAGGCACACACCAATGCTTGGCTAGCGGCCGGGTCTCACTCTTGCTCAGGCTGGTCTCAAACCCCTGAGTCCAAGCAATCCTCCTGTCTCAGCCTCCCAGAGTGTTAGGATTACAGGCATGAGCCATTCCATCTGGCCAATGTTGGAATCTTAATTTACATTCATTCACTTTATTTAACTCTATAAATGTTTTACACACACGTGCACACACATATCTCCTATTATCTTCACTATCATTAATCCTCACCATCCTATGAGATTGGCAAAATATAATATCCTGTTTTGAATTAAAAACTTGAGACTTGAAGAGGCTAAGAAATGTATTCAAAGTCACTGTCACATCTCACTCCGGAAAGCCTGAAAGCCTGAAAATCACTGGGACAAACTTGCTCTTGTAGAATTACCAGGATGTGAGTAGTAAGGTGTGATCAGAGTTACTTTCTGCATACTTTATATTTTCTCACATAACCTCACAATCAACTTAAACATTTTTAGTGATTTGCACATGGAATCAATTATAGTTTATTTGCTATTCTGATAGTCAAGTTTGAGTAAATGTTTTGCAGTGTGTTGATATGTATAATAAGGTTCGCTAGAAAGCAGATTCTCATTGAGGGCACTTCTTCCAGTGACCTAACTGCAGTGAATCATGTGCTGGCAACATCTTTCACTGAGTTATTTGTCAAGGAACACCATGACATAAACATGAATTCCAGGTATGTACTCTTTTCCATTTCATGGCTACTTCTTCCTATCTTAAATTTGGTGCCTATCCCAGTGAATCCTGCAAAGATCAGAAATTTCTTCCTGCTACTCTTCTATTAGATCTTCTATATATTTTTATTTTTTTATTCAATATTATCTATTTATTTTCATATTATATTTAATATATATATTATGATTCATCTATCTTATTATCATTAATTGATATAATATATATCTATATACTTATATGCATTATATACTCTCTGTCTGTCCATGATCCATCTTATCTCATTCCATCTCTTCATTGATATTCAAGAGATCTGATCTTATATGCTAGTTATTTTATTATATTGATTCCTTTCTGCTTCTGTGATAATCATCTCTATTGTTATGATCTATTTATTATTTTTTCCTTGTTCCTTCTCCTCTGGGTCCATCGTTGGCTGTGACCCTCCACCAAATGCCACAGCTTCCTGACATGTTGGTTTTCTTACCACAGTTCCAAGGCCCAGTAACTGCTCACAAATCGTTGCCCTTCAATTGAGCTGACACTATCCTAGGTGAGGCCATTACCCTTGAAAGTTTCCTAACTCGCCACAAGTTGCAAATAGTTCCTTTATTAAATTCCCTCATGTATCCAGACTGATCATCTATTTCTTTGGTTACCTCGATAATATGTGACCATTCTACAAATTATCTCCTGCTACGATTTTTTTTTGGATTTATTCCCAGACATTTAAATACGAACTTCTTTTTACAAAATAAAACATACTATTAAATATAAATATTATTATAAATTGATTTACATCAAAAATTATCAGACTCAATTTAATGTAATACAGTTAATTATTCCAAGTCTAAATTTGTTAGATCTGAGCTTGTAGAGATTCCCAGTGGTATCCATTAACGTTTTCAACATTATAAGCCCTTCTGTATATTTACTTAGCAAAATGACCCAGAGGAAATGATTATTCATTGCTCCTCAAAGTTCTCCACTTCGCATCCTTTGCTGAAATATTGTTTTCCCTATCAGTTACATACAAGTACATTCCCATTTCACTTCAATTTCCCCACTCTCAAACTGCTCTTGCTAAATTATCTACAGTCACCACATTGCCAAATATCAGAAGCATTAAACAAGTACCCACACTCTCTCATCCTGAATCACTTTCTTTTTTTGTATTCTACAAATTTACATTCCTGGTTTAGGTTTCTTCCCACCTGTCTTGTCCACTTATGTTCATCTTTGCTGCAGATTGCAACTCTACCAGACCTTTAAATGATGGGCTATCCCATCATTCATCCAATATAGCCTTATGTTTACAGCCACTTATGGGTCTCATGTAATTTCATTAATTTAAATATTACTTCAATATTGTTCACTCTCTATATGTCCAACCCTGATTTCTTTTGTGAGGTGAAATAATTCTGTATTCAACAGTAGTAGGCAGTGAGTGATTGAGGGACAGTGAGGAAAATATTTTTGTGTGGACATATGGTCTTCTTTCTCTTGGTTATCTATATAAAAGTAGAATTGCTCGATTATACAGTAACTCTATTCTTAATAGTTAGAGAAACTGCAAGACTGTTTTTAAAATAATTATACCATTTTACCTTCTCTTCAGCAGTGTAAGAGGGCTCCAATTTTCCACATTCTCAGCAACACTTTCTATTGTCTTACTTTTTGATTCTAACCACACAAGTGGGTGTAAAATAGTATCTTACAGAGGTTTATTTGCATTTCTCTGATGACTGTCACAATTTTTTTGAAGAAAATACTGAAAGAGACAGGAACAGTGAAAGGTCTGTGGACTCTTACCCTACAATGGTCAGGAAATAGGCCAAGAAAACTACTCAGCTATAACATGGGCAACATTTTTCTGGAAAAGGAAGGATGATCCAGAGGATGGAACCAAAGGCCAGAAGGCAGAGCGAACAGACACACAGCAGCTTAACGGGGAGTAACACTGGACCCTGATCAAATAAGAGAATTGTGGGCAAGGTGTGGTGGCTCATGCCTGTAATCTTAGCACTCTGGGATGCTGAGGTGGGAGAATCCCTTGAACTCAGGAGTTTGAGACCACTGTGAACAACAGTGAGACACCTGTCTACTAAAAAAATAGAAAAATTAGCTGCATGTCATGGAGCATGATGGTAGTTCCAGCTACTCGGGAGGCTGAGGCAAGAAGATCGCTTGAGCCCTAGAGGTTGAGGTTGAAGTGAGCTAAGGTGATGCCACTGCACTCTACCTGGGGTGACAGAGTGAGACTCTATCTCAAAAATAAAAAAAGAAAATGGTAATTGTGTCCAGTTGCTTTTTGGAAATGTTATAGGCCAATTATTGCTATGTAACTACTATATTTTTCTGTTATAAACAAAAGTATTTGCTCAACTTTTCCTATCATTATATCAACAATGTCTGTTAGGCAAATAGGGAGCAGGTGAGACTTCTCTCTTTAGTTCATACATCTTCAAATCAAATTTTGACAGATAACTACTTTTGAAATATATGAATATAACTTAAAAAGAATTTTCAGCAGATTATCTAGTTTATCCTAATTATAAATTTAACTTAATATTATTAGAGGAAACACTATGGGCCTCTGATTTACTATTTAACATTTAAAATAAATCCACTACTAAAAAGAAATCTCCACACTGGCTGATGATATATGGTCAGCTATATTTTGACTACAGAAAATTTCCTTTTATTATTATATCTATGGAATATTATTGTACCAAAACCTATAAGATAATAGGTGTCATTAAGAAAATATTTCTCTTCCAATCTCTCTCTTCAAGCCCCATTAATCTTCTTCTTCCTGAGACTCTAGCTGAAGGGTTCAACATGGGGATCACCACCATGTAGAACACAGACACCACCTTGTTCTGGTCAGTCGAGTAGCTGGACTTGGGCATCACATAAATGAATGTAATGGTCCCATAGAACAGAGGGACCGCAGTGAGGTGGGAGGTGCAGGTGGAGAAGGCCTCGTGGCACCCCTCGGTGGAGCGCATCTTCAGGATGGTGATGAGGATGTAGATGTAGAAGACGGCTATGATAAACACAGTGACCACAATGATGGAGCCAGCAGAAAACGAGAGAACAGCTGTGGGGACACTGGTAAAACAGGAGGGTCCAATTAATGGAGCAAAATCACAGAATTCTCTTAGCAAAAAGCTAAGAATTTATGTCTGAAACACTAAGGACAAAAAAGAGAAAAAAATGTGGTAGTCATGCCCATGTGGACATAATTCTCTCTCCAAGGGCTAGTCAAAATTTGAGAGGAGAGACAGTCAAGTACCCTGGAGATTCCTGAGTAGGTTGTGTGAGTGAGACCACAAACAAGTCATTGAAAATGTTTCCCTCCACAGTCTCAATGACATCCTGCAATTGGATTATTTTCCTGAAAATGATTCCTTACTTTTGTTTCACTCAGTACCTAAGGAATTGAGGAATTCTGCTCATTCCAGCAAAATAAATCAATTATTGTGACCTGACAGAGAAATTCATGGGACAGTGAGAGAATCCTCTTGCTCTCCTCTAGGGAGCCGTGTAACTATGCCAGAAACAGAGAATGGGAATATGGACCAGAATTTTATGGGTCCACAAAGCTTATTCCCAGTAGGTACCCTTTCTCCAAGAAGAATGTCTCTAGCAATGTTATTATTTGGTTCCACTTTGTCATTTCCTTTCCAAATGTACTCAGTCACAACTGTAGTTATCAGCCTTATTTCAGGATAAGCTGATTTTGAAAATGGCCACAGTCTAAGGGTTTAGATGTATAATTACCTTAACTTATTGTACAAAATATCTTTTAGAAAAAATATGAATCAAATTCAAAAGGATTTTCAGCAGTCTAGTACATTTTCATGTGAAACAATGTTCTCCTAATTACATATTTATTTTATTAAATAAATCTCCCTGTGAGTCAGCGATATAATATTTAATCCAAAAATCTAGCCCGTACATTTACTAAAAAGCTTCACACTGGACAGATATATTTTAACCACAGACATTCAATTTACTTTTACTATTTTCTTAATGAGACATTAATGTATAAAATACCACAAAATAAAAGTTATCACCAAGAAAATATTTTTCTTCCAAGCTCTCTCTTCAGAGCCCCTTTGATCTCCATGTTCCTGAGACTGTAGATGATGGGGTTCAACATGGGGATCACTACCATGTAGAACACAGACACCACCTTGTTCTGGTCAGTTGTGCTGGACTTGGTCATCAAATAATTGAATGTAGTGGTCCCATAGAACAGAGTGACCGCAGTGAGGTGGGAGGTGCAGGTGGAGAAGGCCTTGTGGCGCCCCTTGGTGGAGCGCATCTTCAGGATGGTGATGAGGATGTAGATGTAGGAGACGACTATGACAAACACAGTGACCACAATGACACAGCCAGCAGTAAATGAGGGAACAGCTGTGGAGACACTGGTATCAAAACAGGAGAGTTCAATTAAAGGAGCAAAATCACAGAAAAAATGATTTACTTGATTTTGGCCACAGAAAGATAAAGAAAAGAAGGAAAAAGTAAAGGAGGAAGCATTAAGAAAACCACTTAAATAAGCCACTATGAGTAACTGGACACAGACTTGAGTGGACATTTTGGTTGAATAAAGCAGTGGGTTGCAGATTGCCACAAAGCGGTCATAAGCCATGGCAGCCAGAAGGAAGCATTCAACTGTCCCAAAGAAAGCAACTGAAAAATGCTGGATGGCGCATCCAAGGTAGGAGATTGTATTTCTCTCCACCAGGAAGTTCACAAGCATGTTGGGGGTGACAGAAGATGAAAAGCCTAAGTCAGCAGAAGCCAAGTGGCTCAGAAAAAAATGCATAGGGTGATGGAGCTGAGAGGAGATTCTGATGAGAATGATTGTGCTGAGGTTGCCAGATATGGTCACCAGGTAGATGCACAGGATGATCATGAAGAGGACAACGCGAAGGACTGGATTTATCTGTTAAGCCTAGTAAAATGAACTCTGTCACAGCAGTGTGGTTCCCATTCACCTGGGAATCCATGAGTCATGGTAGCTGCTCCCAAAATGAACCTGTGATTGGAACAGTACTCTAGTTATAAATTTGTTGGCTTCATTTCTATTAGTACACATGGGAAGTCTCTATAAAGATATTCAAATACCAACACATTTTTACCTGAAACTGTGAATCTCTCTGTGGTTTGAAAATTATTTGTATCATGAACACCAGAAAAACTTCCTTGAAATCATGTCCTTTTCTTGTCACATTGTTTCCAAAAAAGGCAGTTAAAGTGGCTTTAAATTCAAAGTATAAAAAACATAAAACAGATGAGAATAACAAAAAACATTGATGAGTATAACTAAAAAAGAAAATACATACATAATGAGTGAGATGTGCACCATCTGGTGGATGATCATACTGGAAACAGACTTGTGGGGGGAGGGGGATAAAGGGCATTTATTGAAACCTTAAAATCTGTACCCCCATAATATGCTGAAATAAAAAGAAAATATGCATATAGAATTTTTAAATAAAGACTTGAGGAATGGATAACATTTTTTACATGCTTACTAAATGTTAAGCATAGGGCTAAGAATTTTGTACCCATAGTCATGTTCACTTTCCATAAAATAGTATTAGATTCATTATTATTAGTATTAGATTCATTATTATAAAATAGTATTAGATTCATTACTATTTTATGGGAAGTCATGTTCACTTTCCATAAAATAGTATTAGATTCATTATTATTTTATTAGATACATTATTATGTCTCCTCATACACGGAGACAAAGACATTATGCAACTTGTACAAGGTAACATAGCAAGTGGTGGAATCACAACATAAACCCCAGAAGTCTTCCCGCTCATTCCTTTAGTTACCACACAACAAGTAAAGTTAAATAATACCATGAAGTCCAACACACCTGGCAATGAGTGGATAACAGTTTATCCTTTAGGTCTTCCGGCATCTAATGTGTAAAACAGGCATTTGGTTAGTAACATATTTCATGATTCTATCAGTTAAATAAGACCATTTTTTTAAAAGAAGAAATAAAATGGACTCCATTACTAAAAATAATTTTCAAATTAAGATTATGAATGAGGTCACTTATTGTAAATTTACTGGATATCTTTAAAATAATTATAATTAAATATATTATTTTTCTGTTTTTTAAGTAGTTTGAAATATTAGTGTGTGCAAAAAAATGATTAATATTCAGTACATAATTAAAATATATTTATTTGAATAAATCAAATAACTTCTTACCATAACAGTGTTTTCCAATTGTGATTTTGCAGAATGAATAGTATTATTTTCAACATAATATATGACTCAATAAAGTATAGCCTGAAAATTGAAGAAGGATCATCTAGCTAGTGGCCAGGTTGACCCTCACCTCCTAGTTTTCTTACTTTATGTCTCAAGCTTTGTCTAACAAGTTGTTGCTTTGAAGCTAAAATCATTTAGATCTATACACAAAGTAAGTCTTTCTGTGAATATTACATCATCTTTACATTTTTAAATCTTTAATTAAAATCTTTATAATATCCATAAGTGCCCAGAGTGTCTCAAAGCTAGTGAATTAGCATTCTTGCAGAGTGCCCAGTTTTTTTTAGAATTAATCACATGCATTTTATTTGAACAACTTCTATATAAAGCAAAGATAATGCAAACAAATAGTATCATTATTTAATGACACAAAAGTGACAAGTATTTCCCTGTATTAATTATGCAAATATTTTAATTAATCTGTATTTTTATATTTATAAAGGAATTTTAAAGCTTTCTATACTTTGTTTAAAATCAGTGGTATAATAGAATATTTCAATCCCAACTCAATGTTAGAAAATATCCTGCAAGACTTTTTGCCTGATTCTTTATCATCTTTGGGCACTATATTTAAGGAAAAAAATGTGATCTATCAGAGTACCTTTTTTCTCTTTGGTACTAAGAAACATAAATTCCATTGGCAACTACAGGTTACTGGTATTCTAGGTGTAACAAGTGTGTTCAAGGTGTTTGAAAGCAGGAACTGATTTTTATTTCTGCATCCCAAACCCTTAGTCTGCAGTATGGGTTCAGACATATTTAAGGAATAGTGTACACTCAAGGCTCAAGATGCATTTATATGATTTAGAAATTATTAAAAATAAACTTTAACCTCTTGAGTATTTTTGGAAGGAATCATTTGGTGATAGACGAGAGGATCCAGACAGAACATACTTTTTATCTCTTCCAGCACATACTGGGTCAGTTGCAGTTACTCAAGGACCATGCAGCAGGCTTGTTGCCTATCTCCCAGGAGGTCTGTATGGTTAGGAGACCTAAGGCTGTTTCCATAACTTCCTGTCATCTAACTGCGCCACTTCAGTTATGTATCTTCTCCTTGCCTTAATTTGTTGATTTGTTCAATGAAGGTATTTCCTTCTTCCACTATCTCAGAGATTTAGAAGTACTTCAAAAACATGTATGAATGCCTAGAACATAAAATATTAACCTTAAATTTATATTTCCAGTTAGATGATATATTTATAAATAAACACAAAAATCACTTTCTTTTAATACCTGGGTGTAGGGTTGCTTGGTGACCATTTTTGTTTAGAATAGTAGTTTTCAAACCTTAGTATGCATCAGAATCACTTGAAGGACATGACAAGACACATATATTTAGGTCCCACCTTTAAGTTTCTGATTCAACAGGTGTGTGATGGGACCTGAGAATTTGCATTTCTAACAAGTTCTCAGGTGATGCTCATCTGTTGGACTGGAGGCTACACGTTGAAAACCAGGTGTATAGAATGTGGCTCAAAGAATGCCTGGTTTGAATAGTGTTGAAAGACCATCTGAGTTTGTCTATGGGTATATAAGGAATTCTGATAACATGGATTATAGCCCATATATTCACATGAAGTTGATGGTGGCAACAGAGCAATTCGGCCAAAGTTGCTCAGTAGCTGATTGCTTGATCACATCTGTCCTGTTTCTGCACTATGGCTTCTGAGTACAGATATAAAGTGTTCTCAAAGAGTAAATGAAAGTCAGTTCATCAGATTCATTAACAAAAGCCAACGTCTTACCTCTTGGAATGTGAACTCATTCATTTTTCAGTAACAACTCAAAGTCGTAATGGTTATATAAGTATCTTTCATTTTTG